CCACCAGAAACAACACCCCCAGCAGCGGCAGCAGCAGCAGAAACAGCAGCAGCAGCAGTAACAGCAGTAACAGCAGCAGGAACCGGGGCTGGATCGCGTTTCTACACAGACCCAGAAAACATGTGTTGGATGTGAGGCTGAGATCGACCGAATCAGGGTCCCTGGGTCTGGGTCAGGGTCTGAGGTGGACACAGGAAGACACGGCTCATGTAGGTGCAGCAATAAAAAAAAAAAAACCTACGCCTTATTTGGAAATGATTTCCTTCACATCTGAATGTGCGGTTTTTGCTTTCGTTCTGAAAATGTTTCCATAAAATATAAACAAAAAACGACTTCTGTTTTTTGTTATTAAAAAACAAATTGACAAATTATATCTTTTGTTCATTATAAAAAAAATATAGGGAATATTCTAGAATTGCTACCAGTTCAAACGGCGTCCGGTTGTTCAGTGACGACTAAAACATGTGGAGACACGTCCCTCGGCTGTCGGAGACAGCGCTGACAAGTCCATCGTTATGTCTTCGTCAAGTCATCTGTTTTATCTGATCGACTCTTGTCAACATTTAAAAGGCACATTTTCAACTAAACGTGACCAAATTCACAAAAGATGTTTCTTTCGTTTCACAAAACAGCAAGAAGAATTTGAACAGGACGTGATGTCGGTCTTAGACGAGCGAAAGAAGCAGAATATTTGGACGATTAAGAATTGTCATTTTTGTTTAATTTCAGGAATAAAGTTAAATCAATATTTCATCCAACCCAGGCTCTGTTTTTTAAAATCACAGACGGAAATATAACAAATATAACAACGTATTCTCCACCGTACGTCGTAAGATTTTTGTGTTGATTCATAAAAAGAAAGAAAGAAAACAGAAGAAGAGAGTAGAAGATTCATCGTGTTTTCGGAGGAAAAAAAACGGTGTTGAGCGCCAATGTCGGAAACCACTGCTGAATGTGCAGTATATGCTGCACAGACACCAGCTGTAAAACACTGCGCTACACAAAAAACATGAGGCTTTTTTTTAGGCGGGAAAATATCCCTCTGCACCGTTTACAAAAGCACAGCTTCACAAATGTATGTGCTTGACATACACTGACCGGCCGGGCTGCAGTCTAGAAAATGGGTTGAACATCACGACCAGGAGAATCGGATACGCCGACGACTTTCAACTGTTCGTAAAAGAACAGCAAGAAATAATGTTCAACCATCCAAACAGCAACAAATTGTAATATATATACAAATATATATATAGATATACACATATATACACATATACACATATATACACATATATACATATACACACATATATACATATACGCATATATACATATACACATATATACATATATACACACATATACAAATATATATACATATATACATATACAGATATATATATACATATATACACATATACACATATACACATATATACACATATATACATATACACACATATATACATATACGCATATATACATATACACATATATACATATATACACATATATACACATATATACATATATACACATATACACAGATATACAAATATATATACATATATAGACATATACATATATACACACATACACATATATATACACGTATACAAATATATATACATATATACATATATACACATATATACATATACACATATATACATATATATACATATACACATATATACATATATATACATATACACATATATACATATACACATATATACATATATATATATACATATGTGGCATATTTGCATATTTTTGAATTTTTTCATATACACATATATACATATATATGTGGCATATTCGCATATTTTTGGGTGGTGTAACAGGTTGTGAACTTATCATGTAACAATTTCTGTTCATCAAATACATTTTTTTTTTGTAAAATCAGGTTTAACTGCGTCACCAATTCTATAGATTTCTGTCACTGTAGCAGTTTTTTTTTTTTTTTCCTGCAGCGCTGGTCTGTAACTGAACTCCTACAAAATAGTTCAAGATCATAAAATTTTACTTCAGAAAAAATCTGAAGTTATGCTCCGTGTAAAATGGACAGTAAATCAATGCAGGGTATCAGCAGTACCAGCAGGCAACAGGACGAGGCTCCTGCAGCTCTAACCCACACCTGACCCCTGCACCGTCACCCACAGAAAGGATGCAGTTTCACCCACTGTCTTCAAATACTTTCCTCTCACAGAGACGCCAGTGAAACCGGAGCTGGTCAGGCTCTGTATTTGTTTATTAAGTATGCTCTCGGACTGGCCCGGTCCCAGGACGGCTGTAACTGAGAGATTTGTTCATGTAAGCATTAGGCCTGGCTATCGCTGGTGAATTATTTATTGAAGAAAATCTCTGCATCCTGGACGGATGAGAGAGTACGTCGGGCTGCTCCCCGACTGTGGCGTACATCAGAGGGAGGATGAAAACGCTGGTGAGCAGCTGAACAGACTGAATAGACTGGCAGAGAAGTGGGACGAACCCTGTGTCATAGTCGAAAAAATATCCTGGAAACGGAGCGACGCGACCGGATGAAAACTGAACGATACATCAGTGCCTTTGTTATAAGAAAGTCGCTCATTTCTACAGTACTGTGGGTCACGTCCTGTGCCTCTCATTAGACCTCATTACTTCAACAGTCTCTCAAAACTCTGTCAACTTGTGTTCTTTACTTCTTTCTATTATTTTTTTTTTTATTTTACAAAATCCATCCACTCTAAAACAGCAGTTTAAATCCACGTTTTTCATATTTTTGTATTCTTTTTGTCTGAAATTCTGTTCAGCCTAAAGGTGTGGACATGAATGATTATTCATCAGGATTCATTGGAAATCCCACTAAGCCACTGTTCTGTGACAGTAACGGTCCGGAATGTTCACCAGATAAAGACTTGACTCTTGTCTCTATGAAGTTATAAAAACATGGAATAAATAGAGAATGTAATGAAAACGTGTTCGTCCAGTGTTTTAACTGAGAAAAGCTAAAAATTAGCAAATAGCTAAACATTTGTTGGAGTTAAATATTAGCTACATTTAAAAAAAAAAAACAAATACAACAATCCCCATAAAACAAAAAGTTCAGATTTAAGGACAGGTTTTAACAAAACAAGCAAAAAGGAGTTAAATATTGCCCTGAAACTTATGTAAATATTTGAAAAATAAAAATCACTTTTCAAGATTAAGTTTGTAAAGAAACCATTTTGGAAGTTGACACGTTAGCAAACATCAAAGACAGATCATCAAAAAAATCCTCCTCCAAAAAAGTTCTTTTTTTTTCTCAGTTACAGAATCAGCCACAGTTGTCCAGAGCGTGGGCCACGTCTGCTGTGGACTGCAGCCATCTCACAGTTAGGCTGCGACAGTGATGGTAAAATATGTGTTGATGTGACCCCCGGGCGTCTCCGTCTCTGTCCACAATCAAACCCAGAGGAGACAGACGACAGGACCGGACAGGGGACGAGGTCTCTGCCGTCGACTTCACATCAGAAGTGATTTGTTCAAATCAGCGTGAATCACAGTCGGTCATTTTTTTTTTGTTGCGTGGTCTGGACGCAGCAGCGAGAGACGAGGAGACGAGGAGACGAGGAGACGAGCGCGGGGGCCTGGCTATTGTCACTCACTGGCCGAGCCATTTTGGAAATCACCGTTCTGGATTTGCTCCCTCCCTGTATTCCCTCTTGGCTGCGCGAGATGGGAGGCTTCCTTTTACAATTTTCTGAGCTGCACGCAGGCCATTTCCCTCCCCCGTCCTCCGTCCTCCCTCCCCCGTCCTCCCTCTCCTCCTCCTCAGAATAACATACACATGTCAAAATGCTGAGCTGCGTGATTGAACGAGTCAGTGACTGAAGTAAAAAATGAGAAGGGCCACACTGGGTTTTTCTTTTTTTTTTTTTTTTTTTTTTTAAATTGCCCACGGGGTTTCAGCGAGCGGCCGGATGCAGTCACGTCGATGAAGCCGTTAAAGAGCGTATTTAAGATTTCACAACAAAATACATGTTAGCATCTCTGGGGATAATTTACAGTGTAAGACGTCCACATATCGGTATTTAGGCTAAAAGCTCCTCCATTACCAGAGCAGGCTAATAACGGTGACCTACGGCCGCTCACTCAGCGAATAATCAATCATGCTACGTCAGTGTGTTTAAAGAGGGATTTTATTCTGGATTAAGTGGAGACCGGGAGCCAAACCATTGTCTGGGATACGGAGGGACGCAGTTCAAGTCCAAATGAGCTCGTGTTCAGGAAGACCGGGATAACTGGGGGTAAACCTCAGAGCAACATTAGAATTAAATAACGCCTGCCCTTTGACCCCGGGGCTCTTACAATATAAACCGATGTTGTTCAAACGGTGGGTCGCCATCCACCCACTGATCCATGATTTAAAAAGAAAAAAAGTTTAGGTTTTAGCCAATAATTCAAATTGATCATTAGAAGTTTAAAATGTGAGA